GATTAGTTACGCTTTTCGAGTAAAACTTAGTTCAAACAAAATTTCTTGCTTTGCAGCACTGAAACGAACGGATATCTGAGAACTCATATTTCACGAGCATCTGATCGGGAAGCATCAAGGGATGACAGAGGACAACAATTTGTGTAGGATTTCAAAGTAAACCCTAAATTCCATAGTGAAAAGCAGCCCTTTTCACTGAAACAGGCAGCACTCGTGTCATCGTGCCTCGAATGGAAACTCTGTTTTCTTAATCTATTCTCCTCAGTCTCTACTCCGTTTTTGTTAGCGACGAGATCGTGATGTATTGTTCATCTCAGTCATTTTTTTAATGGTAGAGTATCGAAAGGAAATGGTGTCTGTCCTGTGCGGCAGTAGTTTGATTTGGTGCTGACCACTTCGCTGTGAACACTGACAAACGTTCCTTCACAAGCAGTCGCACAAAAGCATGAACGACATAACTGCAAAATCTTTCCTACTGTTGGTCGAATTTCATCGGTTAATGGGGTTTTTCAGTGGATTCTGAATTCGGAAGAACAGTTGAGGAAGTTTAGATACGTGCCTTTCCCAGCTATTCGAAGAAGAAAGCAATTTATTTGGGTAATAAACGTTTCTAAACAATATTACACTGCTGTTTAACGAATACAACACAATGTGTTTCTAATTCTGGTAAAATGTTTCCGTTTGAGTCCAAAATTGTACCCTTCCAGTCCAGATTCAAGGTTCACTGCTCAGGATGTTAAATCCGATATGGCTAAAGCCACAATTACGTATCAATTTAAACAGCATAATACAGTTTAGTAGAAAACATAGAAACTGCAATAAAGTTACAGGAAATAGAAACTATAACAAAATACAAATATTAACATCAAAAAATGAGATTAAACAGAGTACCAAAATGTAGCACACAAAGAGTCAGTAAGAACATATTATAAATATGTATATGGAAGGATTTTCCCAAAACAAAGCCTTCAAATAGTATTCTGCATCGATCTAGTTACACACATGTTTCTAGTCACCACTCAGAAGGCGATCAATTGTAGTGGTTCTCAGTCATACGACGAGTCATTCGTCACCCACATCGCACGTCGACATTTTCTGTTGCTGTGAAATTGAGAGGCACAGGATTGACACACTAATAACGATGAATTGAGGCAACGTGGTTTTTGCGTGTAAAGCCAAACGTAGTCTCTTCGATTTGCCGAAAGTGAGCACTTGAGTATGTGCTTTCGGACTCAGCTCGGGCGAATTCGAGAAAGGTAGGTAGATAAATATGTCAATAACGGGATTACAATGTGCAAGAAACTGGAAGATAAAAATGGTGTCAAAATAGACTACTTCAGTAGAAAAATGGAATTTTGTGATCACTTTCGACTTGCACTGACTTTGGAATCGAAGAAACTTGCTAGCTGATATTATTTTTATTTCCTCAGATTTATTACTTTATAGCAATTCGTTCGATTCACTTCTTCGCCGGAGAACAAATGGTACTCCACGGACTTAGAGAATCAAGAAGGAAGCGGATTCTAGAGGAAGAAGTATATTTGATACTGGCCTCGTGATATCGAAATAATATCGAGGCAAGAGGGCGTACAAAATGCTATCGTCCAAGCAGGAGACGTGTGAAAACGAGAATGGGAGTGACACGCTTGGCGCGCAAGAGATAGTCATTAGTACAGATAATAAAGAGGTGTGCAGTATAGCAATCACTGTCAGAATTAAGTACAATAATAAATATTTAAATTTTAACAGTCGTGTTTTCTTCGTAAAAGCAAACCACCACAACGCAATCTCTCCTGCTTATTATTACTGTTTCCTTTTTCTTGCTTACACTTACGAACGCTCACCCGATTATTTAACTTATTTGATTCTGTATATAGTCCTGGAGTCTTCATCTTATTACTGGCAATCAAATTTGCTCATTATTTTCCTCCATGTTGCAACTAACTTACCTACGGCCGGTTAGTGCGATGAGTGCTAGTATCCGGAATTCCTTCCGCCCTGAGACAAGCGCGCGCAAATCATGGAACGTACGAAATCATAAATAACTGCCAGTCAAGTGGCTATACTACCATCCATTGAGCAATGGCAATTACCTGTACTCTTACCGAAGGGACAAGTATCGAGCGGAAATAAATCAATCGGTTCATACTGAATCGTGAAAATATATTGGATATTAGAATACCTATGCTGATAAAGTCAATAATGGGTAATATGAAGACTGCTCCTTATCTCTTTTTACATAGATGGACGAGAAAAGAAAGGCTTTTAGTCTCTGGATCTTATAATTTTCATCTAACACATATCTCGTTTATCTAACTTACAATCAAATTTAAAATACGTAACCGCGCTATTTTGTTAGGCTGGTCGTTAGGCTTTTGTTGGTGTTTGTTGGATCAACAAAATCTTATACCTGTATTATATCCTGTTATTTCTGCCTGTATTTATCATAAAGTGTAAGTGCATTTTTCATGTTTTCACTGGGTCATCGGCTTAATTTTCTCGTCCCACCAGCAATTTATGCATTCGGCTTTAAATTCTACTGAAATTATGATATTTAGCGATATTGTTCAAAAGGAAGTAACTGAAGTGACATAAACCTGTGCCCCGGTAGTTAGATGCTCTACCTACTAAACTAATGATCAGAAGTTTTACGTGTATACTAATTTTTCCTGCATTAGTAGTGTTCTAGTATAGACTTTTAATTTTACTCTGCCTGTAATTATTTGATTATTTTATTTTTCCATTATCGCTAATACTTCAACTACTATGAGATTTGAATTAGCAATTCGATCTGTCTGGTAATTTGATATGGCTAATTGGACGGAGGTACGTACGACGTTCTACGTTGTAGCTGACTGCCTGTAATCACGAACTCTCCTTGTCAATATTTCGAAATGCTAATTACTGGCTTTTTTAGGACTTAAAAGCCTGTTATTTGACAATACTGGATATTTGCACAATTCATATTCCATTTTAAACATAAATTAAGTTCACTTCTTCCTCCAGGCTTTACAGACTTTTTAGCCGTTAACCTTTCTCAAATCAGTGATAAGTGGATTCTCTGTTACTACTACTTTTCACGAAAAGTCTTCTACTTCTATTGCACATAAATAACTAGACGTTTTCAATTCTCATGAATGGTTCCTTTTCCATTCATGTATATTCAGAATAAGTGTTTCCCGATAGTTTGTATCTATTCAATGATGTTCCCCCCCTACTCCAATTTACAGTGTGAAAACTTATTGAATCATGTTGTGTTTTTTTTCCATTTACAGTTTTATTTAAACATTCCTACAGCTAAGAATATACTATTGTTTCCTCAATAGTACATCACCTTGAAACTTCCCTACCTTAGAAAAAAACAATGGAAATTGGGGATACAAGCGTAAAAGTTGGTGTTCGTGTTCGACCATTATCAAACAGTGAAGTGAATGATGGAAGTTCAACTTGTTTATCATATTTAAATGAAGAAAACCAGTTAATCATTGGAAATGATAAACTTTTTGGTTTTGATTATGTTTTTAAAGAGACAGATTGTCAAGAGTATGTTTACCGAAAAGCTGCATTTCCAATGGTTGAAAATGTTCTCAAAGGATATAATGCTACTGTGTTTGCTTATGGTCAAACAGGGAGTGGAAAAACTTATACAATGGGTACATGTATCTCTGAAAATATAGCAGACACATCAGTTGGCATTGTTCCTCGAATTATTAAAGATCTATTTGAGAAAATGCCTGATTATGAGTATGAATATACAGTGAAAGTTTCATTCCTTGAGGTAATATACATGTTTTTATTAGCATACAATTTCTTAGATATACAAAGAGGATATACATGATCTGTTAGGTGAGGATGTGTCTGCATCATTACAAATACGTGAAGAGAATCAACTTATTAAGGTATCTCTTTTCTAATTCCTAATTTAAACATTATTTACTGTATAGATTCCAGGACTAACTGAGACAGTAGTCACATCCCCGGAAGAAGTTCTTTATCTCCTTCAATGTGGCTCAACAAAGAGAAGTGTTGCAAGTACAGCGATGAATTTAAAGTCTAGTCGAAGTCATGCTATCTTAACTCTGTGTTTTTTACTGCGACCAAAAATAACAGGAATAGATGTCGAGAATTCAGGAGATACACTGACGGCTAAATTACATTTAGTGGACTTAGCTGGTTCTGAACGGATTAAGAAAACACATGCTGAAGGTGATCGACTTAAGGAAGGTGTGTGCATTACATATTTTTTTTTAATGTTTCTGTATGATTGAGTTATTTTTTCTTGTCTAGTTGACATAAATCTCGTTTTGTATTACTCTAGCTGAACAAGTACTCGATATTAAAGTTTTTTTTCGATAGACCAGGTTCAGTTTCTCTTCCATGTGTTAGAAAAGTTCACGCCCATAATTAAAGACCCCATGTTCCTTGATTTGTTAATGATATCTAACTCAGTTGCTTGAGAAACTTCACGAGGTTATCTATAATAAACATGTCAAACAATACCACTATTCTATTCAAGGTGTTTTTATTTGCAAAGGTATATGAATGTTTCTACGGAAGTTTGTTTCTAATTGATGACAGTAAATGCTATCCTTTAATGTTGTTCATTACCGGTTTTTCGTGTTTGATTTGATTACGGATATACTGATATACTTGGTTCAGTTCAGCCAGTGAGAGTAGAAGATATTCGTCGGTTATTGGTTTCGACCATAGATGTCTTCGAAACATTGCTCGTATATCCTGGGACACCCGAATGAGCAACGCTGTTATTAGGAAACGGGTGCTAGGTAAGAATGGCAGATCAATAGATGAAGTAATGAAACTTCATGAGTTGAGGTGGTTGGGACATGTGCTGCGTATGCCTAACCACCAACTGCCTCGAAGAGCTTTGTTTTGTAGTATAGAAATAGGTTGGAAGAAAGTTAGGGGCGGCCAAACCAAAACATGGCATAAACCCATGAAGTCATTGACAAGTGGACTGAGTCATGTCGGTAGTTGTCGACTACCTGGTTGGGTTCCGCGAGATGATAATAATCGATGGTTAGAGACCTTGAATGACATGGCTCAAAACCGTTTGCAATGGCGCCGGTGCGTTTATTCTTTGTGTTCTCTCAAATCCTGATCTTCTGGGTTCTTCAACAACTCTAGTTTTGACTTTCTAAACTTTTCTCACTGAATCATACTTCTTGAATAATATCTTCTAATCCTAACCTCTCCGATTACTTCTAATACCTTTACTACCTCTTCTACTATTGGATTTGAATTGAAAATTATATCTCTTTTCTGATATGGTATGGGAACATGAACTGATGTACTTACGTACGAAGTTCTTCTACGTTGCATCTGACTGACTGACTGGCTGTTCAGCCCTGGTTTTCCGTTCAATCAGTTTCGTTTGGCAATCGGACCGATTTAGAAGAGTACACAGATGGCATGTACTATAAAGAAAATCTTATAAGCATTCTGTATGCGTTTCTCACCGGTCAAATATATGGCCATGCTACTAGACTCCTCATCCCTTTACTATGTTTTTGAAATTACAGAGTGTGAAAGTTGAACGTATAGGGAATTTTTCAAGTGCTATCAACGATACAGTCAGCTAGTTTAAATCTTAGATTCATGAAATTCTGTTATGATCTAACTATATTTTTACTGTATATTTAATAATCTTGTTTAGTTCAGTTGATATAACGTTATTATTCTTCTTAAAAATGAAACATTTCCAAACTAGGTATCGATATCAATAGAGGTTTACTTGCACTTGGTAATGTTATCAGTGCTTTATGTGAACGTGATGCTAAGAAACGATCACATATTCCATATCGTGATTCACGTCTGACTCGACTACTTCAAGATTCATTAGGTGGGAATAGTGCCACGTTAATGCTTGCTTGTGTTAGTCCTGCTGATATAAATATGGAAGAGACATTGAATACACTTCGGTGAGTTGTTTTTGTAGCAGTGTTGTATATTTCTTATTTAATTAAACTTTTTTTTACTGTTGAGCGCAGCCTAATATGAATTGTTTTGAAGTTGCAGAAGACGGGAGTAGATTGCCATCTATATCTAGTCCAACAGTCAGTCAGATGCAACGTAGAACTTCGTACGTAAGTACATCAGTTCATGTCGCCATACCACATCAGCACAGAGATGTAATTGTCAATTCAAATCCAATAGTAATTAAGGTAGTAAAGATATTAGGAGTTATCGGAGAGGTTAGGATTAGAAGATATTATTCAAGAAGTATGATTCAGTGAGAAAAGTTTAGAAAGTCAAAACTAGAGGTGTTGAAGAATCCAGAAGATTAGGATTTTGGAGAACACAAAGAATAAATGCACTTGCGACATTGCAAACGATTTTGAGCCATGTCATTCAAGGTCTCTAACCATCGATTATTATCATCTCACGGACCCCAACCAGGTAGTCGACAATTACCGACATGGCTAAGTTCACTCGTCAATGACTTCATGGATTTGTGCCATGTTTTGGTTTGGCCGCCCGTAACTTTCTTCCAACCTATTCCTACCCGTAACAGTCTAACGGTCAACAGGGTTTAGGGCTGATGTCAGATTTTTGTCTGATGAAGTAGTGAATCTTGATCATTTGAGATAGTTGGTTCATGTATTATGTATACCCAAGCACAGACTGCCTCCACGAGCTATGTTTTGTGGTGTGGGATTAGGCTGGAAGAAAGCAAGAGGCGGCTAAACCGAAACATGGCAAAAATCCATGAAGTCGCTAACAAGTAGACTTAGCCATGTTAGTCTGTGTAGACAGTAGTAATTGATGGTTAGAGACTTTGAATAACATGGTTAAAAATCGTTTGTAATGGCGCAGATGCAACCATTCTTTGTATCTTCTTTCATATTCTGTTCATCCAAATTCCTCATGACCTTCATCTTTCTCTTGTCAAATTTATTTCACTGGATTATACTTCTTGAATAATATTTTCGACCTCTGCTCATAATTCTACTACTTCTGCCACTATGAGATTTGAATTGATAGTTGCATCGTTGTGCTATCATGGTATGGCAACTTGAATTGATATAAGTACGTACAACGTTCTACGTTATTGCTGACTGACTGACTTGTCTGAAGTCCCTCGAGATATCATAACATGTCGAAGTAGTTGGTTCAAAGTATCTCTGTGCATGGAATTTATCATCCTGGTCAATCAACTCTTTTATTCAACATCTAATGTTTAGCCTAAACATTACCCAGTCCATTGTTTCAACATTCTGACCCATACTTTGAATATATATAAAATCTTTCGTGGCAGTGGCTATAAATGCCTGACCATGCGAGAGTATTTCAAGAGAGTGGACTAGTGATATGAATCAATCAGCTTCTCAAACTAGACTAAGTGAAACTATAATTGATCATAGATTAAAGACCTTGTATGACATTGCTGAATGATGTTGTTAGGAAACGGGTTCTAGGTAAGGATGGCAGGTCAATAGATGAAGTATTGAAACTACATCAGTTAAAGTGATTGAGAAATGCGTTACGTATGCTCGACCGCCGAACTATACTTTGCGATGTAGGAATAAGTGCGGCCAAACCCAAACATGGCACAAATCCATGAAGTCGCTCACAAGTAGACTTGGCCATGTCAGTAGGTTTAGACAGTAGTAATTGATGGTTAGAGACTTTGAATGACATGGTTAAAAATCGTTTGTAATGGCGCAGATGCATCCATTCTTTGTATCTTCTCTCAAATTCTGTTCATCCAAATTCTTCATGATCTTCATCTTTCTCTTCTCAAATTTATTTCACTGGATTATACTTCTTGGATAATATCTTCGACCCGTGCTCATAATTCTACTACTTCTGCCACTATGAGATTTGAATTGATAGTCGCATCGTTGTGTTATCATGGTATGGCAACTTGAATTGATGTACGTACGTGCAACGTTCTACGTTGTTGTTGACTGACTGACTTGTCTGAAATCCCCCGAGATATCATGACATGTCGAAGTAGTTGGTTCAAAGTATCTCTGTGCATGGAATTTATCATCCTGGTCAATCAACTCTTTTACTCAACATCTAATGTTTAGCCTAAACATTACCCAGTCCATTGTTTTAACATTCTGACACATACTTCGAATATATGTAAAATCTCATACTTGACGCAGATACTTATATCAATGATGTTAGTACAGGGATATACAGCGGTCTACTCAGTGATTTGTATTATTTTACAGGCATAATCTTCATTATTTTCAAACAATTTCAAATTTTCTAACCAATACAACTCAATAATTTTTCACTAGTTAGTTTTTTCAGTGATCCATTTTAGTGTAACTCAATTCACTTTGTCCAAGTTCAAGTATTCATCTTTAAAGTATACATTTCATTTTAACTGAACCCATCATAAACATGGGTTCAAAGGGACATCAAGATATCTATGCCTCACACAAATTATTAAGTTTGTTAGTAAGCTGGGATACTGCTCGGACGCCCAGACCGAAGCAGATGATTCTCTTAAAGAGCCTCGCTTTGAGCCTTTGAAACAAAAGTCTAATCCACAAGACAGTAGGGCAACGTCACCAGATGCAGTCTCATGGTATCCGGTGACCAACACTGGATTCATACGTCATTCGTTCTATCAGGATTCTGGAGCTCATATGCACTATTGTTTTTGGAATCAGGGTTCTCCAACTCCCCTAGGTGGATCGTTGGAATCCACCAGACTGTTTAATGTGCTGGACACTCGCTTCTCGTCCTTTCGATTCCATAAACAGCACCTTTAGCATGAGAATTCAGTGAGTAGGACTTTCGTGGCAGTGGCTATAAATGCCTGACCATGCGGGAGTATTTCAAGAGAGTGGACTAGTGATATGAATCAATCAGCTTCTCAAACTAGACTAAGTGAAACTATAATTGATCATAGACTAAAGACCTTGTATGACATTGCTGAATGATGTTGTTAGGAAACGGGTTCTAGGTAAGGATGGCAGGTCAGTAGATGAAGTATTGAAACTACATCAGTTAAAGTGGTTGAGACATGCGTTACGTATGCTCGACCGCCGAACTATACTTTGCGATGTAGGAATAGGGGCGGCCAAACCAAAACGTGGCACAAATCCATGAAGTCACTGACAATTGGATTGAGCCATGTTGGTGTTTATGGACTACCTGGTTGGGGTCCGCGAGACGAAAGTAACCGATGGGTAGAGACCTGGGATCGACATCGCTCAAAATCGTTTGCTATGGCACAGGTGCATCCATTCCTTGTGTTCTGTGAAAGTTTAATCTTCTAAATTCCTCACCACCTCTCTCTTTCTCTTTCTAAATTTATCGCACTGAATTATACTTGTTGAATATTATCTTCGAACCCTAATCTTCTCCATTACAGTTAACACTTTTACTACTTCTACTATTATGAGATTTGAATTGACAATTGCATCTCTGTTTGCTCCCATGGTATAGAAACTTGAATGGATGTACGCACCTACGACGTTCTACATTGTAACTGACTTGTCTGACTTAATCATATAACTGTCTGTTATTTCTCTCCCTGAAAAATCATTCGTTAACCTTCTTAATTATTCAAATTTTATTTTGTGATATTGTGTATGTCATGAGTTTTTCTTACAAATCATATTGCAATGAAATACTTCGCATCATTTTATTGCCTTCTATATATTTGTTAGACCTACACGTAAACATGTCATTTTGATATGCTTGAACTATTACGAGTTTACCTAGTCAGTAAACGAGAGCGACGATCGAGGATCCGGCGACACGACATGCTACTCAAATCCAATTATCCCAACCCCCATATTGAGTAAAAATAAGAAGACTTGATATGAAATAGAACATGTATTCTACAAGCATCCAGAAAGTACGAGGTCCGAATCCAGAAGAGAATCAGGATCCCGGACTAGGGATCCGGGACCCAGGTCCGGGTCATAAAACGTTATAGATAATGCGTATTTATACATTTTGGTCGAATAGAAAACAACATCAAAGTCTGTGACATTTTGACAGTTATGACGACCAATAGGAAGTAACATTTGAAGTGACATTGATAGTCAGGACAACCAATAAGAAACAACATTGGAGCACGTGACATTGATATCTAGGATGACCATAAAATCGACCAATAGCAAATAACCAATAAAAATTGACCAATAGAACTCTCTCTCTTAGGAGTATTGAATGAATAATATCCTAACACACTATTGTTAACTTGCAATTTATATCTATTTGTATCTATTTTTTTTAATTCTGTAGATATGCTGATCGTGCACGTCTTATTAAAAATAAACCAATTTTAAATCGTGCTGATCCAAAAGATGCTGAATTAGCTAAACTACGTGTTTTAGTGGCTCAATTACAAGCTCGTTTAGCATCGAATGGTTCCTCGTGTTTTCCATTGCTTAGTCCATGTCCTAAAACAATTCAACAGCAGCATAAACCATTCACTACAATCAATAATAATAATAATATTTCAACAAATAGTCATTTTTCTTCAGAATTAATTACCAGTCTTATGAATAAGAATAAAAAGTTAGAGGTTAGTAAATTGTTGATAGTGTTGTTGTTACTCACATACATACTTACTTACTTATTTGAGCCTGTTACCTTTATTGACTTAGAATATGCCGATGACATAGTCCCCTACTTGGTGAAGACGCTGACAAAATGCAGAGTCTTGTGATTACCCTAATTAACCATGCAAGCATGTTCGGGATGCGGTTTTCGCCCTGGAAATGCAAAATGTTGCTTCAAGACTGGGTTGCATCGGTACCTGAACTAGTGATAGGGAGTGAAGTAGTCGAACGTGTAGACCGCTTGACTTATCTGGGGAGTCTCATCAGTGCTGATGGCCTGGTGACTAACGAAATCTCAGCTCGGGTACAGAAGGCTTGATTGGCTTTTGCCAACATTCGTCACTTATGGCGTAGGCGAGATATCCGTTTGCTGACTAAAGGACGAGTGTACTGCGCAGTAGTTCGCTCCGTCTTACTTTATAGCTGTGAAACATGGCTAGTGAGAGTAGAAGATACTCGTCGGTTATTGGTTTCCGATCATAGGTGTCTTCGAAGCATTGCTCGTATATCGTGGGACACCCGAGTGAGCAACGCTGTTATTAGGAAACGGGTGCTAGGTAATGATGACAGATCAATAGATGAAGTAATGAAACTTTATCCGTCAAGTGGCTGGGGCATGTGACACGAATGCCCAACCGCTGTCTACTTTGACGGGCGATGATTTGTGATGTAGGGGTAGGTTCGAAAAAAGCTAGGGGTTGGCCAGACCAAAACATGGCAGAAATGCATGAAGTCATTGACTAGTGGACTTAGTCATGTTGGTTTTGACTTTCTAAACTTATCTCACTGAATCATACTTCTTGAATAATATCTTCTAATCCTAACCTCTTCGATTACTTCTATAATACCTTTACCACCTCTACTACTATTGGATTCGAATTGACAATTACATCTCTTTGCTGATGTGGTATGGTGACATGAACTGATGTACGTACGTACGTTGCATCTGACTGACTGACCTTTAATGGAGCATAGGTCGCCGACTAGTGAATTATTTTTCTGATTAGCAGCGTTTTAATTCTAGCGAGTTGAAGAATAGAGTCGCTAACCCCGCCCCCGCCGGCATGCCAACCCTCCTCGTTTGTCCGCTGGGCTTGAGCACGACAGTACTAGGTTAAGGATGGTAAATCAATACTCGAAGTAGTTAAACTTCATCAGTTAAAGTTGTGGCGTTAGATTTTTGTTATCTTCGATTCCCAGTATACCTTCGTCTTGATGATCGCTACCAGACAACACTACGAGTCGTTGCTACAATTTCTTTATTATTCAAATTTATTTTTTATGATCGATACAAATATCGAATTTAATTCAAATATGTATAATCGATATTGACATCGAATTATTCAAACTGTTAATCGATACAGTTAATCAAATAACTAACTGTATGTGTGTAGGTGGCAAGTAATGCCCAACTACGTACATGCGCATACAAGCTCAACAATGATAAATGTACAAGATATACATGTGAGGTGCTACAAGGTGGTTGGAACATGTGTTACTAAATGCCCAATCACCGATTGCCTCGATGAGTGGTGTTTTGTGGTGCAAGAGTAAGTTAGAAGAAAGCTAGGGTGCGGTCAAACCAAAACATGGCACAAATCCATGAAGTGGACTGAGTCATGTTGGTAGGTGTAGGCTACGTGGTTGGGATCTGCGAGACGAAAGTCACCAATGGTTAGAGACCTTGAACGTCATGACTTAAAATCGTTCGCAATGGTGCCGGTGCATCCGATCTTTGTGCTCTCTCGAATCCTAATCTTCTGGATTCCTCACCACCTCTACCTTTGTCTTTCTAACCTTATCTCACTGAATCATACTTCTTGAATAATATCTTCGCTCCTTAATCTTCTCCATTGCTGCTAATACATTGTGAACTACCGAATGGTCAAAAATTCTAAATCTACGTTGAACAACTGACTAAGATTGTCGTCGATGCTCTGTGTTAACTGTAATCTAGTTATAACATGACACCAAATACCCTGAAAAAGGAGAGAGCCCGCTCCCCAAATGTCCTCATATACCCTCTGACATGGAAGTCCTACTCACTAAATTCTCGTGGCACCGGTGTTGTTTATCAAATTGCGAGAACAAAAATTGCGTGTCCGGCACTTTGACCAGTCTAATGGGGATATCAAGGATCCACCTAGGGGAGTTGGAGAACCCTGATTCCAAAAACAATGGTGCATATGAGCTCCAGAATCCTGACAGAACGAATGGCGTACGAATCCATTATTGGTCACCGGTTACCATGAGACTGCATCTGGTGAGGAGCGAAGTCAGCTTAAGCTGTTACGGGTGTGAGGGCGGTTGTCACTTCCCGGCTGCCCACACCGTGGAGGGTTGTTTCTTGAGGGACCTGAAAAGGAAGATGTATTAGTGTTGGTCTTAGAGACCTGGGAGCGTGACCACAGAGCCCAAGGGACAACTGGTTGAGGCCGGTCACGCACGGCCTTTTTATTAAAGGTTTTTTGAGGATTAGCTGCGTTCTTAAAGGCCCTAAGTGGGCACCCTTACCGACGAAGACGGAAATCCGTGTGGTAGGGTGAGGTGTGACATTTTTAGGGTCGACCTTTTCTAACCCTTCCTTCCTTGTGAGAAGGCAGCATCGCTGCAGCTGCTGCTTGTTGTCCGAGGGAAACACATTACTGCTGTCACACCCCTCCATCACAGTCAGCAGTACGACTTAGCCCTCAGACGTTGAGTAGCTGCTTTTAGTCTCATCGTTCTCCAATCGACCAGCCTGGCATGATAGAACCTTCAGAAACATAAGTTCCAGCCAATATAGCTCGGCTGGGTCATCACGATAGGCAAGCTCGACCACCACGTCAAGGTAGCAGCTACGGTCGGGAAATAAATTAGATACTTCAGTATTGGCTATTTTGTTAACGTGAGTGTTGATGATGTTTCCCATTTGTTTAAATTAAACTGAGTAAGGCATGGTTTTTAACTAGGTATCTAGTGGCTGAATTAGATAAAACTATTGAAATTACGATGCAAGCAATTTACGTGAGACGCTATACGTAACACACGTCCCAACCATCTCAACTGATGAAGTTTCACCACTTCATCTATTGATTTGCCATCCCTACCTAGCACTCGTTTCCTAACGACAGCATTGCTTATACGGTTGTCTCATGATACACGAGCAATGCTTCGGAGAAATCGATGATCGAATACTAGTAACTTACGAAAGTCCTCTACTCTTAACGGCCAAGTCTCGCATCCGTACAGTAGGACGGAGCAAACTGCTGCACAGTACACTCGTCCTTTAGTCAGCAAACGGATATCTCGCTTGCGCCATAAGTGACGCAGGTTGGCAAAAGCCAATCGAGCCTTCTGTATCCGTGCTGAGATTTCGTCAGCCACCAACCAGGCCATCAGTAATATTGATGAGACTCCCCAAATAAGTGAAGCGGTCTACACGCTTAAATTAAACTGAGTAAGGCGAAGTTTGAACTAGGTACCTAGTGAAAAGTAGGAAACATCATCAACGCTCACGCTCACCTAGTGACCGCCTTAACTAATAGTCCGTTGTTCCCGTTAACCCGATCCTATTTTATATAATCAATAAGAATTTTTTTAAACCTATACATGTGTATTTCTTTTTTTGTGTCTAGGGTGAGAAACTTCAACTTTGTGCTGAATTAGAACAAACGATTGAAAAAATGAATGAATTATATCGATTGAATTACGATACAAACAATTTACACGAGACGTTAATTTCAGAACTACAAAAAATTGAATCGATTCTCAAGTAAATTGTTTTTTTGTAAATTCCTTATAATTTTTTTCAAATTAAATAGCTCATTAAAACAATTTGTTCAAGATAATAAATTGAATGAATATCCTGAATTGTTGCGTTATATTCAAGAATTTGAAGATATATTAACTAGTTTGGTGAAACTTCATTCGATTGAGTTGAATAAAGTAAGTTTGTGTTGTATGACATGTTAATCAGTTTACTTATTCTAATCTGCTTTACTTTGGCATATATTTCACGATCAAGAATAAAAATTCTTACCTCACTTTAATTAATTCGTTGTGTTTAGTATCTTTATCTACAATCCCTGTAGTCAGTCAGTCAGTCAGTTGCAACGTAGAACTTCGTACGTGCGTACATAAGTTCATGTTGCCATACCACATTATTAACACAGAGACGCAAATGTCAAATCAAATCCCATAGTGATAGTAGAGATAGTAGAGGTATTAATGGTAATGAAGAAGACTAGGGTTTGAAGATATTATTATTCAAGAAGTATAATTCAGTGAGATAAGGTTAGAAAGACAAAGGTAGAGGTGTTGAAGAATCCAGAAGATTAGGATTTGAGAGAACACAAAGAATGGATGCAACTGAGCCATTGCAAACGATTTTGAGCCATGTCGTTCAAGGTCTCTAACCATTTGCAACTTTCGTCAGAAAAAGGGTTAGAGTAGTAGAGGTGAATGAGTTGTTAAGCGGCATGGGGAGGATTTGTGACTAATTTGGCCATCGTGTGTTGTTACAGGAATGACGGCGGATGTAACTTCCCACCTGCCCACACCGTGATAGGGTATTTATTGAGGAATTTGCAAAGGTAATCGGATTTGCATGATCTCGAAGCCCAAGAGATAACTGCTTCAAGCTGGTCACTCATTGCCTTTTTATGGGAAGCTCTCAATGTGCTAGCTCCGCTCTTCAAATGGCCTTACCGTTCGTTGGAGAAGGAAATCCCTGAGGTAAGGTAAGGTGTGACATTTTTGGCGTCGACCTTCTCTAACCCCTTCCTTCCGTTGTAAGAAGGCAGTATCGCTGCAGATGCTCGTTGTCCAAGAGAAACGCCTTAAGGCCCCCCCCACTCCTCTACAGTCAGTAGTACGGTTTCGCTGTCAGACCTTTTTGGTCATACCTTTCTCCGAACGACCTGCCTGGGATGGTAGAACCTACAAAAACATATGTTCCAACCAATATAGCTAGCTAGCTGGATTAGGTCATCACGATAGGCGAGGCTGACCATCGCATCAAGGTAACAGCTACGGCGTTGGGACAATTCCGTAGTGCTTCATGTAGAATTGAAACACATACATATCTATGAGTTATAATCATCTTGACTAGTTATTTGTTGACTATTTTTTTTTATTGGAGAAATGCTTCATTTGCAAAACTTAAATTTTACAGATGACAAATGACGATATAGAACATGCTTATAAAGAATCGTCCGATTTATTAGCTGAAATTCAATCAGACAATGCATGTTTCGATGCAGCTGATGAAGAAGACCACATTGACAAAGAAGAAGAGGAGGAGGAGGATGACGAGAAAATGCCATTGAAAACCTCTGATGAAATTATCGATGATAATTGTATTACTATAAATACAACAAAATCAAAACTTGTTGGTAAGTCAGTCTCTGAGCATGTCTTCACAAGAAATTTCACATTTTTCCAGTTAAATTCTATGGATGATTGACTTAAAATGATTTTTTAGAAAGGTTAGAAAGGTTGAGCATTCAAGCGCAAAACCGATGGACGTGGGTTCGAATCCTGCGAGTTGCGGGAGTCCTGGATGCGTCTACTGCCGCTGATGGGTCCCGTACCAGGACGAAGTGGCCGTCTTCCAGTTCTTTCAGGTTTTTTAGTGGTGGTCTGACAATGATTCATCTGTGATTTCAGTATGTAAAAACAACGATCTCTATAATACCATCATACAGAATCAAAATATGTGCCTACTAGTGACTAGCTTCCTGAGGAAATTCTCGGAGTTCTAGTGAGATGTGACCAGTGGAGTTCAACCCTGTCGGGTGTATGCAGTAACTACCGAAGACAATGGATGGGGTTGTGTAGAAATCCTTAGATTGATCCGAGTTAGAGATTAACACCGTCAAATGCAGGTTCAGTGGTATAGAGGAATCAGTTTAACTTATCTGGTGTCTAAGTTGCTACCCTCGATAATACTTTGACGCCTAACTAGAGCTCGTGAAGAGCAGACTCGACCTGGACGTGGCTGTATGGACCAGATATCTGCTCTTCGTCAGGTCAAAACACAGACACATTTCAGCGTCCAACAATAATTGTATTCCTTGAGCTTAAATCGGCATTTAACTCTGTCGATTTTGAGGTTCTATGGCAATGTTTATCATTGTAAGGTGTACCAATGAAGTATATTAACCGTATACAAGCTCTCTATTCGAACACCACTGGTCGAGTGAGAGCTTATGGCGAAATGTCATCGTAACTGACTACCTGAAGTGCTGTTCGTCGAGGCTGTTCACTCTCTCCATTCTTATGCAACTTGGTGATTGAAATGGTTTCAAAGACAACACTTTCATCGTATGACTTTCCAGGAATTGAACTTTTACCCGTTGATTCACTTGTCTACTTAGAATATACCGATAACATAGTTCTACTTGGTGAAAACGCTGACAAAATGCAGAGTCTTCTGACTACCCTAAGCAACAATGCAAGCATGTTCGGGATGCGGTTTTCCTCCTCGAAATGCAAAATGTTGATTCAAGATTGGCTCGTGTCGGTACCTGAACTAGTGATAGGGAGTGAAGTAGTTGAGCGTGTTGACCGCTTCACTTATCTCAAGGGTCTCATCGGTGCTGATGGCCTGGTGACTGACGAAATCTCAGGACGCATATTAAAAGGCTCGATTAGCTTTTAACAACTTGCGTCACTTATGGTGTAGATGAGATATCCGTTTGCTAAACGAAGGACGAGTGTACTGCTCAGCAGTTCTCTCCGTCCTACTTTATGGCTGTGAAATATGACCAGTAAGAGTTGAGGATAATTCGTAGGTCACTGGTTTTCGATCATCGGTGTCTCAGAAGCATTGTTCGTTTATCTTGGAACTATCGAGTAAACAATACAGTTGTTAGGAAACTAGTACTATGTGATCAATAGTTGAAGTAGTGAATTTTCATCGTTTGAGGTATTTGGGACATGTGTTAGGTTTTTGCCCAACCACCGACTGTCCAGACGAGCTATGTTTTTGTTAAGAAGTTCATCCAATATCTTAAGATGATCCAATTGGTCGTCCTAACTATCAGTGCCACTTAGTTCAAATGTTGTTTCCTATTCGACCAAAATTGTATAAATAAGCATTATCTGTAACGTTTTATGACCCGGACCCGGACCCATATCCCTAGTCCGAGATCCTGATTCTCTACTGGACTCGGACCTCGTACTTTCTGGATGCTTGTAGAATGCACGTCCTACTTCATATCAAGTCTTCTTATTTTTACTCAATATGGGGGTTGGGATAATCGGATTTGAGTTGCATGTCATGTCGCCGGATCCTCGATCCTCGTCGCTCTCGTTTTCCGACTAAGGTAAACTCGTAACTGGTGTTTACGTGCGTGCGTAACAGTTTTGTGATGTAAGTGTATTCAAGCATGATTTCATAATCTGTTAGGATATTCATCCAATATCCTAAGAGAATTATTGGTCAAATCCTATTGGTCAAAATTATGGTCGTTTTAACTGTCAAAGTCAAATACTTCAATGTTGTCTCTTATTGGTCATCCGGACTGTCAATGTCATTTCAAATGTTACTTCCTATTGGTCGTCTTAACTATCAGTGCCACCTACTTCAAATGTTGTTTCCCATTCGACCAAAATGTATAAATATGCATTATCTGTAACGTTTTATGACCAGGGCTCGGTCCAGGATCCCTAGTCCGGGATCCTGATTCTCTTCTGGATTCGGACCTCGTACTTTCTGGATGCTTGTAGAATATACAGGTTCTACTTCATATCAAGTCTTGTCTTTTTTTACTCAATCTGGGGGTTGGGATAATCGGATTTGAGTAGCATGTCATGTCGCCGGCTCCTCAATCTTCGCTCTCGTCATCAAGTTGACGTGTTTACGTGCAGGCGTAACATAATCTGCATAGGAAGCTAAGTTTTATCTGTGCACATTTATGTATATTCTAGAGTGTTTTGTTCATGTACCGCGATAACCAGTTATTATTATTATTATTATCATTATTACTCTTTATTTATTTTCTACTATAGATCGTTGGGGTTCTGAATTACGTGCACGTCGTTTAGAATGTAAACAACGCATTGAAACTATAGAAGCAACAATACATCAAAAAAACGCCTTGCTGATTAGTTTAGAAACTGCAGCTGAACAAGGCGATGAATCGTATTGTTTACTATTGAAAAAATATGAATCACAAATTTGTGAATTAGAATCAAAAATCAATGATTTGGAAATGGAAAAACGTAAACTGCTAGCTGAACATAATAGTGAAACAATGAAAGAGTATGTTTCGGTGCATTGTGTGTGTGTGTTATTTTTTCTGCTGGTTCATTTTATTGAAAGGTGTACTTGTTTCTTGAAACTTTCAAGGTTAATCTCAGTCAGTCAGTCAGTCAGTCAGATGCAACGTAGAACTTTGTACGTACGTGTGTAAGTACATCAGTTCATGTTGCCATACCACATTATTAGCACACAAAGAGATGTAATTGTCAATTCAAATCCAATAGTAGTAGAAGAGGTAGTAAAGGTATTATAGAAGTAATCGGAGAGGTTATGATTAGAAGATATTATTCAAGAAGTATGATTCAGTGGCAAAAGTTTACAAAGTTGAAGAATCCAGAAGATTAGAATTTGAGAGAACACAAAGCATAAATGCACCGGCGCCGTTGCGAACGATTTTGAGCCATGTCATTCATTCAAGGTCTCTTACCATCGATTATTATAATCTCGCGGATCCCAACCAGGTAGTCGACAATTACCGACATGGTTAAGTCCACTCGTCAATGACTTCATGGATTTGTGCCATGTTTTGGTTTGGCCGCCCAAGGTTAATCTACGCACCGTCTAAATAGATATTATTAAGTATTCTCTTATTTACGTTTGTCAACCCTCCTCCCTAGTGGACCATAGGCCATCGACCAGTATTCTCCGCTTTTTTTCTCTCCCGGACATTTCTCTATCCAATTATTGTTCATTCTCCTCATATCTATCTCTCCATTTCTCGACGTAATGTGTTTTCTGATGTACCTTGTCTCTTTTGAGCTCAGCGATTTCAAGTGAGTGCTTTCCTCAATGTGTGTCCTATCCACTTCCAGCGTTTGGCATAGATTTTCAGAAGACGAATAACATTTTATGCGGAGTTTTATCTTGATTAACCTTTTACGAAAAAAAACTGATTGGTAGAATTTATTTTGAACTTAAATCATGATTGCATTACGGGGTTGTAAAGATTGTTATGTTACCCATTTTAATTCATTAATCGATCAATTTTAGACCTGGAAGCACTGGATGGCCGTTTCGTCCTGGTATGGGACTCATCTACATTCGCGCGCAAGACTGAAGGTCCTGGGTTCGAATCCTGTGAGGTGCAGGAGTTGTGGATGCGCAATTCCATTGATGAGTCCTATACCAGGACAAAACGGCCATCCAGTGCTTCCAAGTCTAACATTGATCGATTCATGATTTCAAATGTGTATCTACATAGTAAGGTAGGTAGGTAGGCACACCTAATCATTACCAATTTCGCACTCATGGAAAATGTACATGGGTCTCCAGTTTGGTCACCAGCTCCAGTGAGTGTATGTAGCTACAGGAAATGATCAATATAGAGTGGAGAATAACTTAATGTCATGGAAATCTAAACACACAAAAAACAGAGTTCGATAAAAAGTTCTGAATGATACCCAACTTAAAGATTTCGTAGCTGTACTGTATGGTAGTCAATTCTGCATCATGTCACTTATATCGAGATTTCAGATTTCTAGGTTAGATTGTAACTCGTATTCATTAATTAAGATCATAACTTGAATGATTCTCCCGATCTCCCACATTGTACGAACATTTTATTTACCCAAATTAATGGTTGTTCTGTTTGGTAGAAAGAACATTGGCCTTGGGACTTTGAAGAAGCTCGGCATTCATCATGAGACGTTATAAGTCTTCTCAATGAAGGCCTTCAAAAACTCCAAGGGCAGGGTTTAAATGGTTTGAATCACTTTCTAGCGAGTTATTTTCTGCGGGATGGGTTCGCTAACCCCAAACCCAACCCTCCTCCTTTATCCGCTGGGCATGCGACCGGCAGTAGCCACAGAGGAGCTCCAGGCTGAGCTTAGCATCAGGAGCAGCTACAGCTTACTGTGGGAGCGAACAAACCAAAATCCAGCAGAGGGAAATCCGGGGAGGAGCGCTGAATGTGGATTGGACACACCCAACCGCATCACAAGACAAGCCCTTGCTTGGAATCCTAAAGTCCAAAGGAGAATAGGAATACTGAGGAACACTTTACGCCCAGAAATAGAGACATGCATGAAAAGAGTGAACAACAGTTGGGCGGAAATGAAATGGAAGGCCTAGAACAGAGTAGGGTGTCGAATGCTGGTCGGTAGCCTATGCACTCCTCTGGGGGGTAACAGGTATAAGTAAATGCTAAGATCATAGCTACAGAAAAGCGATGAAAAGTCGGTTAAAATTGCGAACAGCCAATCTGTAGTTGTAGGCAGAGATAAATTGTAATTCGCATTGGAATCTAGGACGTGCGTTTTGTCCTATTTGAAAGTTATCAGAAGTTACCTTGGTCTTTTTTATGGAGACTGGTATGAACGAAGTGAGCATACTGTAGGTGGTGATCTACGATAAACTAGAAAAGTAGTCAATGGAAAAAAGCCGCATCAAATAACATAACTGAACAAAGCGGAGTCATATTAAAAGTAATTTAACCCCTCATATAGAGCTAGCTCTCTTCCAGGGTTACTACCCCAATCTCAAGTCCACATCAATAAGGACCGATGGGCCTTAGAGGTTTGTGACCGCATCGCATAAAAAACAAACTCGTTCACAACCATTAACCAGAATAAATCATTCAAACCATTTAAACTCTGGTTTCCGCTCCATACAGTAGAAGTGTCTTGACATTTGTATTGAAAATCCTGATTTTGGTTTTGGTTGATTGTTGTTTGGAGTTCCAGATATTTTTCAACTGTAGAAATGCAGCCTTCGCTTTGCCCATCCGCGCCCTCACATCTGCATCCGATCCACCTTGATTGTCGATGATGATGATCAGATATGTAAAGGTGTTAATGTCCTCCAAGGCATCTCCATCAAGAGTGATTTGGTTGGTGCATGTTGTGTTGCATCGGAGAATTTTGCTTTTTCCTTTATGTATGTTGAGACCTACTGCTGCAGAGGCTGCTGCTACACTAGTCGTCTTCTCTTGCATTTGTTGTTACGTGTGTGATAGAAGAGCCAGATCATCCACGAAGTCCAGTTCGTCCAGCTGCATCCCAACTGTTCAGTTGACACCGTGCTTTCCTCCAGATGCTAACGTCTTCATAATCCAGTCGATGACCAGGAGAAAGAGAAAGTGTGAGAGTAAGCAACCTTGCCTGACACCGGTCTTCACCTCGAAAGAGTGTGTTAGCTATCCTCCGTGCACGATTTTGCAGTTGAATCCATCATAAGAATTCCGTATGATGTTAACTATTTTCTCGGGCACACCGTAGTGTCGAAGAAGCCTCCACAGTATTTTTCCTATCCACGCTATCGAATGCTTTCTCGTAGTCGATGAAGTTGATGTACAGTGGTGAATCCGATTCAACTGATTGTTCCACAATGATCCGTAATGTAGCAATTTGGTCAGTACATGATCGATCCTTACGAAATCCGGTCTGTTGATCTCGAAGTTGGGCGTCTACGAAGTCCTTCATTCTGTTTAACAACAATACCCTGTTTTGAAGACTTTGTCTGATATTGAGCGAAGAGTGATGCCTCTGGAGAAAGAAGCACAGGATAGAGTTGGTTGGAGAGAAAACTGGTGGGCGGCCTATGCTTCATTGGGGCTGGGGGGGGGGTAACAGGCGTAAGTAAGTAAGTAAGTAATTTAAACTCTGCCCTGTGAGTTAGTTAGAAGGTTTTTTTTTCATTGAGTGAGAAAACTCACTGCAACAAACTTGATTGATTAACCATGAATACAACAATAGTCTAAGTCAAATTGTTTTTGTTTGTTTTCAGTTCTAAAACTCAACGTGACGCACGTCTAAAGATGATGGAACAAGAATTAAGTCAAACACGTCGTCAACTCACTGAATTATCACGTTTGAAAAAAGCTAAAGAAGCTAGAGAAACCGAGTGTTTAAGGCTAAGAACTGAAATACAATCATTGAAAGCCTCAATGATTCGTTCAGCGAAACAATTGAAAGAAGAAAGTACTGCCTATCGTAAATGGCGTAAAGAAAAAGAGACTGAAGTTGGTTGATTTTTGATTTTGTCGGTTGTTACATTTAAAAATTATGTATACTAGTGTGTGTGTGTGTGTGTGTGTGTGTATGATGACTTGTTTTAAGATGACTTACTGTGTTTTCAGGTTAAGGATTTGATGATTGTGACTAGTTTGGTCTTGTATGGTGGTGTTACGAGTATGAGGGCGGATGTCACTTCCCGGCTGTCCATCTCGTGGAAGGTTGTTTCCTGAGGAACCTGAAAAGGAAGTAGGATTAGTGTTGGTCTCGGAGACCTGGAAGCGTGACCGCAGAGCCCAAGGGATAACTGCTTAAGGCCTGGTCACGAACGGCCTTCTTATGAGAGGTTTTTTGAGTGTTAACTCCGCTCTTGTTTAAAAGGCCTTGCCGCTGGAGACGAAAATCCGTGAGGGTGTAGATGTCATTTTTACGCTGCATATACAGTGGAAGGGCGTTTCTTGAAGAATCTAAAAGGGAAGTTGGATTAGTGTTAGTCTTAGGAGCGCAGAGCTCAACTGGAGCTGGTTGTGCACAGCTTTTTTATGGGAAGTCTTTAATATGTTATCTCCTTTCTTCAAGTGGCCTAACCACCGGAAATGATGGAAGTTCTAGGCATCAGGTGAGGTGTGTGTGTGTGTGTATGATGACTTGTTTTAAGATGACTTATTGTGTTTTCAGGTTTAGGATTTGATGATTGTGACTAGTTTGGTCTTGTATGGTGATGTTACGAGTATGAGGGCGGATGTCACTTCCCGACTGTCCATCCCGTGGAAGGTTGTTTCCTGAGGAACCTGAGAAGGAAGTAGGATTAGTGTTGGTCTTAGGGGCCTGGAAGCGTGACCGCAGAGTCCAAGGGACAACTACTTGAGGCCAGTCACGCACGGCCTTCTTATGAGAGGTTTTTTGAGTGTTAACTCCGCTCTTGTTTAAAAGACCTTGCCGCTGGAGACGAAAATCCGTGAGGGTGTAGATGTCATTTTTACGCTGCATATGCAGTGGAAGGGCGTTTCCTGAAGAATTTAAAAAGGAAGTTGGATTAGTGTTGGTCTTAGAGGCCTGGAAGCGTGACCGCAGAGCTCAACTGAAGCCGGTTGCGCACAGCCTTTTTATGGGAAGTTTTTAATGTGTTAACTCCGTTCTTCAAGTGGCCTAACCACCGGAAATGATGGAAGTTCTAGGCATCAGGTGAGGTGTGTGTCTGTGTGTATGACGACTTGTTTTAAGATGACTTACTGTGTTTTGAGGTTAGGATTTGATGATTGTGACTAGTTTGATCTTGTATGGTGGTGTTACGAGTATGAGGGCGGATGTCACTTCCCGGCTGTCCATCTCGTGGAAGGGTGTTTCCTGAGGAACCTGAAAAGGAAGGTAGATTAGTGTTGGTCTCGGAGACCTGGAAGCGTGACCGCAGAGGGACAACTACTTGAGGCCGGTCACGCACGGCCTTTTTATGAGAAGTTTTTAAAGTGTTAGCTCCGCTTTTGTTTAAAAAAGGCCTTACCACCGGAGACGGAAATCCGTGAGGGTGTAGATGTCATTTTTTCGCTGCATATACAGTGGAAGGGCGTTTCTTGAAGAATCTAAAAGGGAAGTTGGATTAGTGTTAGTCTTAGGAGCGCAGAGCTCAACTGGAGCTGGTTGTGCACAGCTTTTTTATGGGAAGTCTTTAATATGTTATCTCCTTTCTTCAAGTGGCCTAACCACCGGAAATGATGGAAGTTCTAGGCATCAGGTGAGGTGTGTGTGTGTGTGTATGATGACTTGTTTTAAGATGACTTATTGTGTTTTCAGGTTTAGGATTTGATGATTGTGACTAGTTTGGTCTTGTATGGTGATGTTACGAGTATGAGGGCGGATGTCACTTCCCGACTGTCCATCCCGTGGAAGGTTGTTTCCTGAGGAACCTGAGAAGGAAGTAGGATTAGTGTTGGTCTTAGGGGCCTGGAAGCGTGACCGCAGAGTCCAAGGGACAACTACTTGAGGCCAGTCACGCACGGCCTTCTTATGAGAGGTTTTTTGAGTGTTAACTCCGCTCTTGTTTAAAAGACCTTGCCGCTGGAGACGAAAATCCGTGAGGGTGTAGATGTCATTTTTACGCTGCATATGCAGTGGAAGGGCGTTTCTTGAAGAATTTAAAAAGGAAGTTGGATTAGTGTTGGTCTTAGAGGCCTGGAAGCGTGACCGCAGAGCTCAACTGAAGCCGGTTGCGCACAGCCTTTTTATGGGAAGTTTTTAATGTGTTAACTCCGTTCTTCAAGTGGCCTAACTACCGGAGATGATGGAAGTCCTAGGCATCAGGTGAGGTGTGACATTTTTAGGGTCGACCTTTTCTAACCGTTTCTTCCGTTGTGAGAAGGCAGCAGCATTGCAGATGCTGATTGTCCGAGGAAAATACCTTGTCGCCTTAACACCTCTACGGTCATCAATCAGTACGACTTCGTCCTAAGACCTTAAGTTGCTGCTTTTAGTCTTTCCGTTCCCCAGTCAACCTGTCTAGCATGGTAGAACCTAAAAGAACTTATATTCAAGTCAATAAAGCTCAGTTTGGTCATCAGGATAGGCAATCCCAACCATCGCCTCATGGTATCTGTTACAGTTGGGCGTTTTCAAGATCAAATAATGGAGAGTAAGATAGATAGTTATTGATTAACGGTCGGTCATATAATAAATAGTTTAGGCAACTAAAAATCTCAAATACTTGGATTGTTTTTTTCACGATTATTAAATACAAATCAGTCTGTGATATGAACTGTGAAAAAAATGAGTGTATCTTCACGACTGAAACTGATCTTGACGCCATATCATGATTATTCTGTTAATTTCTCAACTAACAAGCTTTCATCTATTGACAAATCTCAGTTCAACAATTTCTGGACCGTGTAAATTGATTGGTTGATTTATCGCAATTTTTTCTCCAACTTATTTTCGTAGCAGTAAGTAGTAGTAGTAGTGTGGTGTGTGCTACTTATACGAACGATATAAGTAGTATAAGAAGGGACGTGAAAGAAGAAGTCTCACGGTCAGAAGAGGAAAACGGAAAGCAAATGGAGCAAAAGCAAGAAGTAAATGGAGTACTAACAGGAAGGAAAGGAAGCAACAACAGGAATGGAAGAAGGATGGAGTGTTGGAAGTCACGACTCAAAGATAGTGTGCAAATAGAGTGTATTCAATGTAATGTTTTCGTCTGATTGGGCAATTCCTCTTCCAATGCCCGGTTCTTCCGCAAATATAGCATTTATTATTTCTTCCACCCTTTATTCGTAACGCTGCCACCTCGCGTTGTAACTGTTCTATCTTCTTTGCGACATCATCCGCCTGTCTCTCACACGCCATCGAGGCGACTGTTAGGTTCATCAGCTGTCTTGTTACTTTTGCCAGCTCGGTGACGTCCATTGGTTGTGCGGCGTTCACCAGTCTTCTTGCCTCCTACCAGCTCCGCCACGGCTTCGAACCCCTTCAAGAAGTTCCTTACATCTCCGTCTTCAAACTTCCGGAGGCATGGAATCTTCATCCTGTGTAGAGGCAGCAAAACCGATTGAGAAGACTGAGGCAGGCGCGGAAGATTGTATTATGCAAATTTACACTCTGAGTCAATTAAAAACGAAAACATTACATTGAACACTCTATTTGCACACCATCTTTGAGTCGTGACTTCCAACGCTCCATCCTTCTTCCATTCCTGTTGTTGCTTCCTTTCCTTCCTGTTGGTACTCCATTTACTTCTTGTTTTTGCTCCATTTGCTTTCCGTTTTCCTCTTCTGACCGTGAGACTTCTTCTTTCACGTCCCTTCTTATACTACTTATATCGTTCGTATAAGTAGCACACACCACAGTAGTAGTAAGTAGTCTAGTCATGTGTAATATTCAGTTGTTCACAAAAATTCACTAACATCATGTTTTGTTTTAACTGATTAGATTTACAAAAATTTCTATCATTTTATTATTATGTTTAGGTGAAACGACTACAAGAACATGATCGTCGACTTCAATGTGAATTGTCACGTGTGATTTCAGTGCATGAACGTCAACAAGCTGTATTGAAACGTCGTATTGAAGCTGCTGCTGCAGCGGAACGTCGATTGAAAGAATTGTTATTACGTCAAAAAGATAATAAAAATGAACGTGAAAAACGTGTATCTGAAGGAAACAATGCCAAGAAGTAAGAGTTAACTATTTCTGTTTTTATTTCTGTGTGTTCATAATAATTATGTTGATGACGAGTTAGTGGGTTGACCTTCTTTCTACCAGAGAAATTGCTTATTGATCTAGATAGAATATGCCGATGACATAGTTTCCTATTCGGTGAAGACGCTGACACAATGCAAACTCTTCTGACTACTACCATAAGCAACAATCCGAACATGTTCGGGATGTGGTTCTCAACCTCGAAATGCAAAATGTTGCTTCAAGATTGGGTTGCATCGGAACCTGAACTAGTGTGATAGGAAGTGAAGTAGTCGAGCGTGTTGAACACTTTACTTATCTGGGGAGTCTCATCAGTGCTGATAGCCTGGTGACTGACGAAATCTCAGCACCGATACAGAAGGCTCGATTAGCTTATGCCAACCTGCGTCACCTATGGCGTAGGCGAGATATCCGTTCGCTAACCAAAGGACGAGTGTACTGCGCAGCAGTTCGCTCCGTTCTCCTATATGGCTGTGAAACATGGCCGTTAAGAGCAGATGTTCGTAGGTTACTAGTATTCGATCATAGATGTTTAAGAAGCATTGCTCGTGTATCCTGGGTCGACCGAGTAAGCAATGCTGTCGTTAGGAAACGAGTTCTAAGTAAGGATGACAAATCAATAGATGAAGTGGTGAAACTTCATCAGTTGAGGTGGTTGGGACATGTGTTACGAATGCCCGACCACCGACTGCCTAGACGAGCGATGTTTTGTGGTGTAGGAATAGGTTGGAAGAAAGCTAGGGGCGGCTAAACCAAAACATGGCAGAAATCCATGAAGTCACTAACAAGTGGACTGAGTCATGTTGGTACATGTAGACTACCTGGTTGCTGTCCGCGATACGAAAGTTGCCAATGATTAGAGACCTTGAACGACATGGCTCAAAATCGTTTGCAATGGCGCAAGTGCATCCATTCGTTGAGCTCTCTCAAATCCTAATCTTCTGGAATCGTCAGCACCTTTACCTTTGTCTTT